GGTTCTCCTCACTTACACGCTCCCTCAATTAAACTTTATTCTGAATATTATTATTTTTTAACCGCGTTCTAGTAAGCTTTGGTGCAATGTTTTGAAAATTGTTCTTTCTGAAAATTTTACATTTTAAAACATTGTGAAATGTGATATTTAATAATTGCTCTACTCATTTGTCCATCACAATAACAGTTAAATAGACTGACATCACATTCAATGTATATAAAAGTGTGATAAACATGAAGTTTTACGTTCCAGCATAAATATTAGCATCATGTATTTCGTCTTCAGCGAAACACGCTGCACCATCTATATTACAATATGTTTACTTCAGATTAAAATCGATGTTTTCGTTTTTGACGCAAATCCGAATGGCAAGGCATGATCAGTGGGCGAAAAGCTTAAAAAAGCTACGGGAATATAAGGTGATTTCCATTAGCTCGCCCTTTTGAGAGCTTTAACGTGTAAAAAGAACAGAGACTTGAAATGTCTGACGGCTTTTGTCTAAGATGGCTCAGCTTGGCAAATGTACTCTTTCACATTGTTTGTTTTTTCTTTTTTAAAGTTGTAACGACGTCGAAATGAGATACGATCAAATTAGCCGACAAGCCTCAAGAAGTTTAAATTACCGATGCTTTTTCAACCTTTTGACGTATTCTGAACTAAGCAGTTGCATGGAAGAATATAAAAGAAAACATTGAAACGAGTCGTTCCGTAAAGCTTGAATTCTCGAAGATTGGTCGCAGATTAGGCATTTTTAAAGTCGCTCAGATCAAGTCATAATCGAGTTCTACTAATTTTAATCGCTTTCATCTTTATTTTCACAAGGACTCCAATGATTTACAATATCCGAAATATTCTTGGAAAGATTTTCAAAGCAGTACACCATCATTAAAAATTTAAATTTCCTTGTCTACAGGAACGACCAATCTAGTGCATTTAGTGTATCTGGCCTTTTACTCAATTCCCCAAAATTTTTTTCTCCGTCATTATAGACAATACCAAAAGTTTTTAATACGAAAACTCAAAAGCATAAAATTCTTGTTAATCAGTTCTCCACCGCTCACCACTGTTCAAAGAGCGGCCGCTAATCAAAGCAAATCGAATCCTCCCCCAGAACTTTTAATAGTTGCTAAAGGTCATTTGATTACTTCGTTATTTCTATTCAGCGTGTACGTAACCGAAAAAACATATTTCTCATCTAAAAATCTATAACTGAAAGGCGGCAACCAAAAGCCTTCATTGACCTCACTGACTGTTTTAGATCGAATATATATTTTTTAGACGTGTTAGATGTTCTTTTAATGTTTTGAGTTATCAAAATGCCCGCTCTTCTCCCAGCCGGGAGGTTTTTCTCACAGTTTTCGCGGAGCGAAAAACAGAGAAATGTTGGTATGTCCTGCACGATGACGAAGTAGGATGTAGCTAACTATAGTTGAGTACACATTCGAAGTTTTTACTTTTCTTAAAAGGCTATTATTTTAGCAAGTAATGGCAATAATAATATTCCTAATCCTTTTTCATCCACTGCAAAGTTTTAGCAGCACCGCTGAGTCAATCACGATTGATCGTGTAAAAACAATCAGTGAACATTGCAGCAGGAATCTAATTTACAATGCAGCTTAGGCTGACCATTCAAGTTTTTACACCGTTAATTATTAGATTCCTTTGAGCTTCTCAGCCTGAACAAAAATGAATTAATCCATTTTGAACCGATTGGTAAACTGAAAAACTAAAAAAAGGGTTGAGATCAAAACATTTTCTCCCAAGAATTAGTGTTGCGATAGTGAAAGACAAATAGGAAGGGAAAGGATTGTTAAAATTGATTTATACTGACTCTGAGATAACGGTCGGAGGCTAATTAAGTTAAAAATTCTGGATTCATAACACAATCATCAAGGTGGTCCAACATCGGTAGTCAACGACAGAAAGAGATGACAAAAGAGACAAGGGAACTCGACTGCCAGCAAGCAAATCTACTCGAAATTGACGAAAAGAGCCCTTTTGATGTCTTTGATTCAAAAGATTGGAGATTTTTGTCGTAAAGGGCTATTTCGGATCAATTTGCAACAAACAAGATCGGCTTGTAGCTCCAATATTGGGTAAATGAAACCAGTGGAAAACTGTAATAAAAACAACACAGTTGTCTCCGAAAAAAATTTAACTTCAAAAAGCACGGCGCCATAATCAAATGTTCATACATATTTTCTAGACTGAAAAATAACAAAAATTACACCTAAATCTTCTAAAACATGATGCCAAGTGATAACAAAGCAAAAAATTAAATAAAAAACCATTTTCGCAAGCAGGAACATAAAATGTCAACTTGGCTTCGAAATATCAAAGTTAATTAAAGGGCAAAACTTGAACATCTTGCAGTTTGATTTCAACCGTTCAATGTTAACCTGAGTGTAACCGCGACCAAGATATTTTTTGTTAGTTTTAAAACTGTTTTTGTCGAAATTTTTAGAGAAATTTAGTTCCTCACTATTAATCTGATGCCTTTTGCCTTACCTGTCACGCCATTCGTCAGTGTTTCCTCTGTTAGTATATATTTTTGGCTATATGCAAATCTGGGGTGTGCTCAATTTAAGTGATGTTTTAAGAAGCGTCGTCTTGAGTTTGCAAAATTTATTTAGTGAATTTGTGTTGCATTCAGGAGAAAACTATATTTTGTCCCACGATATGCAACCGATGAAATACGCCAAAATGGATGTGGAAAAAAGTTCCGTTCAAGCAGACTTGAGCACTTACGTACTGCTCATCGATACTGCTTCGCTACAGCTAAGTGACAAATCTCCTTATCTTTTGAACAGCTTTATGCTATAAACTGTTTCATTTAGCTTCTTCATAGAGTTAACGAAAATTGCACATTTATTTCATCAACCTACCTTTTATCGATGGTTTTTAGCTCCAAAAAAATAAGGTTTGCTTTTGGCGACTTCTTTTATGTGATTTGCTTCTTACGTACGAAATGAAGTTTAGCATATAGGTTCGTCGGCTTCCTTTCCTTATGGTGACAATGATGTGAAATCAATCTTTCTGACAGATATCCTGCCATCAATAATATGCAATATGCACCCCTACTGCTCGGGATAATAAATTTCATATATTCTTCGCCTGAACATGAGTCGCAGATGTGAATCGGAGAAAGTTTTGGGGGGTTTGCCGACCTTTTTAAATAATGGTGTTTTGTCTAAAAAAATGGGAATTAAGCGTGGCCTTTTTAGAATGCAAACAACGTTCTACAAACCTAAGTTTGTTTGCGCTCGACAAAAGACATGTTTTAATTCATTTTGTTATCATTTCTTGAATAACAAAGAATATTATGTTTACGTCTTGGATTTCCACGTAATGTACTCTTTTGATGTTGTATTTTGTTGCATATTTTTTGTTTTCTTTGTTATGTTCATTTTTCCGTTAGTGTTTGTTTCTAGAAAGTAAATAAATCTGTTAAAACCCATTCAAATAGTCCGTGGTGAAATAACTCAGTTCGAGTTCGTTGAGCTGAAAAGATGTTTTTCCATCCTTTATTGCTGAAAAGCTAATATTGATTTTGTGTAAGTTTTTAACATAATTCAATTCTATTACTATTTTTCAACTGTTCTGTAAAGAAGAAAGATTTACGAGTTTAAAAAAAAGGTAGCTCTTATTACTTAACTTAGATTGGTTAGTTTAAGATAAGGTAACCGTAATAAGATTACACAGCAGCTACGGGGTATATTTCAATAAAACTTCTGTTGACAGTGCGGCCAATGTTTAACATAGAGCAGGAAAAAAAAAGCTAGACACTTTTTTTCGTGTGGCGTGTTTCGACGGTTGTAAAATTTCCCAGAAGTATCCATTTTAGATTCATCTCCCGTTTCATTTTCCGTTTCATTTTTATAGGATGTGCAGTCTCAGCCAATGAAAACACTAATAGTAGCAGTATTGCAGTTAATGACAAATGTATTGAAGAAAGTTTTGATTAGATGATTGTAAGTGCTGTTAAAACAGCTGAAACGTTGCACCAGGCTGTTGAAAGGGAATTTAATTTAAACAAAGGAGAATGGAACAACTGTAAGCCCCAAGGCAAGACACGAAAAGTATTTTAGGGGGCAATAAGACAGTTTACCGATTGAAGTTTTCAAAGGGAAAAAGGGGAAATCTACCGAAACTAACCATCTTTCCAACAGAGAGGGAAAGCAAAGTAATGGTGATGTAATTAAATTCGTTCTCATTTTCTTGTGCGCGCTGAGAAACACCGGATGGCACCTTTTTCTAAATGCAAATCGTCTCCAAGAATAACCTAACAATAATGTAAATGGACAAATGCCCAGTTGTGTAAAAAGAAAACATTAAAAACGCGTGAGCAACTCTGTAATGAACTTCACATAAAGTAAAAGCGCTCTGTCAAAACTTCACTTGTCATGTTCGCTGTCTGTGTTCCCGATATTCACCTACATTATCAATAATTAACCACATTTTTCGGACATAAGTTGGTGTGATTAAGAGTTTCTAAATCTTTCACTGAGAACACAATTTGAATCCGCTAAACGGGCTTAAGCAATTTCAGTCAATCGAAAAGTCCACTCGTCCTTATTTATACCAAGTTGCAAATTGTATAGACTTAAATATGTACTTTTACTATCTACCACACAGGTGAATAGTGCTTTTTGCGCGCACTGACTGGCCAGTTCGGAAGTGATTAGCAAGTGGTTCGTCCCATCGAAACTCTGCTTAATCCCAGTGTAGATTCTTCTCTCCCTCAAAAAACTTTCCGCCGATATTTTGTGGTACTAAATTATTTGTCAAAATCGCAATCAATTGATTAGTTTGGTTCTTCTTCCTGTACTTATACCCTATGTCACATATGTAGTTCGCTAGAGGTTAGGTCATCACTAAACCAGTCGCAGGTGTTGTGAGAAAAGTTGATAAACTGTGACTGTGATGAAAAAATAGATAGACTCGGCCTTGCAAGTGGTTCAACATACTAATTTGATTTCCTTTCTTTAAAATGAATGGAACTAAGTCGAACGATCGTTGTTGCATTGACATCTAAGAATCCTCGCAAAACCTTTCCTGAACTCGTCGTTCATACCAGCATAGAGTAGTGGGTTTACACAGCTATTAACATAAACCATGAGACTTCCGAAAGTAAGAAATGTACTTAAATGGGGCCAATTGGCACCTGAACCAAACTCATACCATAGCCACACGACTTGATTGGGCAGAAGGCATATGGCGTAGAGAAGCACGACTGAAACCAACATCTTGATAATCTTCGTTGATCTCTGCAGCCGTTTCTCCTCTTTCCGTGTGTTCGAAGGCTTGCTCGCTGTGAACTTTGTTTTGTTATTTATGACCGACATCTGAGTACTGTTAGCGAAGGAGGGATCATTTGACGCTAGCTCGCTTTCCATAGCAGACTCCATGTACTGACTGGACCCGGCATTCTTAGCTTTTTCATACGCACCTTCAGATATGCCACTCGCTTTACGATTTCTTGCCAGGATGCTTGCTTGTTCACGTAGCTTCAGCGCCACCATGGAATACGCAAAGCCTATGATAGAGAGTGGAAGTGCGTACTGGAACACAAACAAGCCCAGTGTGTACAGTTTTACAGCAACGGGCACCGGCCAGTCTTCTCGGCATTCACCTTCCACCATCTTTAACGCCAGAATGTAGGGTAGAACAAGAAGCAAAGACATTAACCATGTGGAGCTTATTATGATGGATGTTTGAACTGTCGTGAAGCGAGGCTTCCAAGGGTATATTACGGCTCGATACCTATAACGGAAAAATCGTTAATGATGATCGGTCGCTAAAGTTAAAATTTTGGCATAGGTCGGAGTGAATTATTTAGCGTGAAGAAGATCGAAACAAGTCTGGCTGACCTATTCTAGCGAATGGAAAGCGTCCATGGTCGTAACCAATCCATTCCTTGCCATCATTCATATCATATGGAAATGAAGGATGTTGGTGCTGTAGTTTTTGTCAAGTTGAAAATACCTAACATCGATAAAAGGGCAAGAATTCGCAAAAAATCACCATTTGTCTCCCATTAAAGGTTAAGCCAACAAATCTTACCTGTCATAACTTATTGCTGCAAGAGTTGCCGCTGAGCAGTTTGTGAACAGCGTCATAGCAGGCCATACAACTTTGCACAGTGCTTCACCAAGTGGCCACACAGGAGAGGTCACTTTTAACACGACATCAAACGGGATGCAAAATAAAGCCACCATTAGGTCTGAAATTGCCAAGTTTACAAGCAGAAAGTTACGAGTGGTGCGCATACGAGGTGTCTGTGCAATTACGAGGCAGACGAGGGTATTTCCGGTCACAGCGAAAATAAATATAACAGCAAAGAAGGTATACTCTGTCAATTGCAGTGCCGTCATTGCTGTTTTTCCGGTTTCGGTTGAATTTTCCATGACACTGTTGAATCTGAGGACTGTTGAGTACTGGGACTGTGTTCCAAATGAAGAGTGCAGCTACTAATGATGAATAATAGCTTTAAATTTGTTTTTTTTTTGCTGGTTATTGTTCCTCAGTTCTACGCCGATTTATAACAGTTGTTCAAGATTGAAATTTACTAAAAGAAAATAGAGAAGATAAACGTTAAGTGATTATTGTTTCTTTTGAACAAGCCGTATCCTATAGTTTCATTCTGATAAATAAAGAAGTATATTTTTACTACTTCATGTAAATTTAAAAAGAAGACAGAAATCAAGAAAGAGTCATTAACTGAATACAACTGACAACCACAGTCTGGATTTTGGGAGAGCTTTACCGTTTTCTCACTTACTCATCACATCTCCCGATTCCCTTCCACTAGTACTGACGGAGATCCTTACACAAATAGCAGTATCTCTACGTTCGTTAAATGATGGGAAATGGCGGCATTGTGGTCGAGATAAAATTAGATAATGATGATGGTGGATTTGTAGAGATTTCTTTGGCTAAAGCTTATGATGAAAAGGAAAACCTAGGCTTCTAAAGAACTTTAATACATGACACAGTACCGACTAAATCTATATTGATCTTTTGATTTCAGATATTATTCAAGACAACTATCCAGTCTTAGAAACTCACTATTATTGCCGGCTTTCGTTATTGGTGGTTTTCAAATTTATCAGAAGAAAAAAAAAAGACATTGGTTTAGTTTACATCAGTTTTGAAACCGATTCAACGGTCATTGAGTTTTAATAATTTCTCCGACTCTCAGCGAAATGCAGTAAACTCCCAAAAGTAAACAATGTAACATATTATTTCAAAACCTTAGACATCGATCACTATCGGCTAGCACACCACAGTGGATTACCTTGAAAAACAGTGAGCAACCATACAGTTTTAACTTCCTGTTAGCATGATTTATCTCCAACCTTTTAAGTCATGCAAAACGGTCTACCATAATTCTTACCTGTGGAAAATAAAAACGTGCTGATTAAATGGAAATCAGTCTTCATTTCCTTTTTGACATCTTTCTCTATTTACTAACTTTCCTTTTCAGTTTGTAAAATTTCACTTGGTTTGGCCTAAGCCGCATTAATGAGCTCCAACCAACTGAGTAATGAGTTTTAAAAAATGTCACATTGCAGTGCATTTTCATCTCAAGTACAGGAAGACGAAACGAGATATTTACGCCCACATTTTCTGTTTTGCTCTTAACCATCCATATGTCTGCGTCTTCATTAGGAAATGTAAACATTTTGACTGCGTTTCCGTCTAGAAGGACCAAATTGCGGATGAAAGAGACAGTACGTGACGCAATCTTGGACGTTTTCAAGCTCCCTTTTCACCTGTCTATGCATGACACAGATCGATTTGAAAATGATGCACCGTTTCGTAACTCTCCACTTTTCAAACCGTTTTCGCAAGTCTTCATTTGCATCAGCGTTTTCGGGTGTTTTAGTGTGGATGATGGGAAAAATGCATAAAAATGTGCGCATTTTCTCCCAAAAACGCATTTGAGTGGACGAAGCTTTTAGAATTGTTATTAAATGAAGCACTTTTTCAGAAACTCCCTTTACCTTATGCTTGTAACTCGTTAGTTGAGTATTTACCCTCAGAAGTGGTGAGTATAGCAATTTAAAAATTACGAACCTCGGTCTTCTTGTGAACTAAATCCCCCTTAATCTTGTTTGCTGTTGAAGGCTCAAAATCTAAGAAATACGATTTTTATCAGTATCTGTCGTTGTTGTATTTTTGTCCCAAGTGACATTAGAATTGACAGTATATCGTTAAAGTTGTTTTTTGATCTTTTTCATGTCATGGAAATAACGTCCCACGGTTTTCCGATTGCTTTTGTCGAATGAAGGTTTCTCACTCACTTTGAGACATATCTCACGACTTTTTATCAGAAAAATCAAGAGGAACGATTAAATTTGCCTTAAAATTAAATTTATAATTCAGACAAAATAAATAGTGTGAAATGTTTACTTTTGAAAATAGTTATGTTCAGTTTCGTTTTAATGTTTTATGTTTGAAAACGATAAGCTGCTTTTATTCTTCCTGCAATTGGTGTTTGTTTTAAAGACATCTAATTAACGAGGTCGTAAGAAATTTGAATTAGTATGTCCAACTTCGATCGATTCCACTTTTATCTTTGTTTGGATGAACCAGTTTTTGATAGACTTGTGAAAAAAAAGAACTCTTTAATGGACAACCCTAAGACCTCTGTACAAAAACAAAAAGATAAAAAACTTCTTTCTTATCAGTTAATAGTTCCAGTGTACGGGAACATTAGGCAACTGATTGGAGGCAAGAGCAGTTGCGTACGAGTCAATTTGATTGTGGCGGGATCCTACTGAAGTCCCCGACTCATAACAAATTAAGAAAGTAAATAATAAATGAAAGCATCTTTAGGATGCTTTTTTTTTGTAATCCAAACCTCTTTCCCTTAAGTAAAGCTGAAAGGAATGACTTTTCTGAAAATGGATAAAACTGTACAAAATGCAAATGAGGTAAGAAGTATTTGCAGCATTGTTGGATCCTGTCGTTCTAAAAATATTGAAACAGAAATGACACGAACATGTCAAATTTATACTTCGCGAGAATTGAACAATTTTTAAATTCTGATTATTCTTCAAGGGTATTTCTTAATTTTGAAACTCCTGCATACCAGTCGGATTCTGCGCTCTAGAGAGAGCCTAAAGCACGAATTCTAGTATTTTTGCGAGGAGCTTTTGCGTTAATTAGCTCGGTCTTCAGGTTGTCCACACTTCCTTTGAGACATTTAAAAAAAGAAAAAAAACTTTGTAGTTAAAAGTAAACTTCTGCAATGAAAAAGAAAGAAATGCCGCCCGGGAATTTCAAGATATCCGTGTTGTAAGGTGTTTCAAAAATTTTCCATCCCATAGATTACATAGACTCGTTTTCAAAAGCCTAGAAGAAGCAGAAGCAGAAGAACTTAAGCCTATTGAAAAGCTCAGAGCGATTTAACTAAGCACCTGATGTGATCTCCTCATAGAAGAATGATTCTCTCAGTTTTATATACCACCTTGTGGTATCGGTCAGCTATGACTGTCTGTGAAAAATTCTTTTCCTAGACTTTAAATGCATGGGTGACCCCTCTAATGATTAAATACTACCCACATAGGTAAAGGATAACGGCAAGTCTGATTTATTTGACCTCTAAATGCACTTCTATGGTTGGTTGTAGCAAATTTGGAGAATGACTTCCATTTGTAAAACGATGACGTTCACAGGAAGAAAAGTAAACATCTCTATCGCATCTATGGTATAAATTATATTATCTCTTGTCACGGTGTAAACAGTCATGAAGGGTTTGTAGAAGCCGATAAAACTGAAACTGCGTTTTCGTACGGTTGGGCATTGAAATAATTGTGTTAATTTACCCGGATATTTGGTAACCCATTCTTCGTACTGCTTGAAGTATTCTATCATCTGTGGTGAGGACACACCTCACGGCTTATCAGATCTAATATATAGGATGAAGATTATATTTTCGATGTTTTCAGACCTGTCCTTCTGAAGATGGATAAATTAAATTGACTTGGTGATGGATATCCGTGGGAACACCCACCACTGCACTTAAACTGAGCGGCTTCTTTAAATGCTAATCAGCTATTAGCTCCTTGATTTCACCACTTGCGCTCATTTCAATTCAACTTGTTAGTGTGTTAAACCGCCAAGAAGAAATTTAATCTCATTTGTGGCTCAAGACACAACAGTGCTCGCATTTCAATAACAAAAGGAGCGCCAAAAAGAGTTAAAGTTTTAAATATATTTTTATTCGCGCCCAGACGACAAAAAAATATTCTTTTGACAGATTGCCATATTTTCAACTCGTAATGTAACAGTGTTTACTTTAGAAAGGGCATATAAAAAATAGAAGAGAAAATGTTTTTTTTTTCAATTTAATCGAAAGAAAAGCTTAATTTTTCCCTGGAAAACTGCAAGAATCTGGAGAGACCTACCTGGGAAAAAACGCTTTGACCTGAAAAACAAATTTGAGACAAACACCTGCTACAGTAACTGACGCTAGCTAAAACCACGATATAGTGAAGTTTTTAGCCTTCTGGGTTTCATGTCTATTAAGTTGCTGGCTCCCATTTAAATCAAATAGTGATCCAAAAGTTGTTTTTTCGCGCTTCTATTTTAAGCTTGTAGGCAAAAGACTTTTTTTTCCTTCCTTATATTCCAAACCTCAACTATATTTCATAGAATATTTAATGATAATATTCAGCTTCGATGTTTAATCCGAAGAATTGTAGTACATGATAATTTGAAAGTGACCGCGAAATTATTTGAATTTATCCGTTAAAGGTGCCGTGGAGAATTTTTGGCCCATGACTTTTCTAGATTAGTGTCCATTCTAATACGATATGAAATTAAGCTTCTTCACCTATCCTGAATATCTTCGGTTGTCCATATAAAAAATGTATTATTCATAGTAATAGGTCGTGAATTAAAGGCAAGGCATTGTACAGTAACTTAGTAACCTTTGAATAAAAGGTTCATTTCATACAACGAGTATCATCCTCGAAGTGTCATATTCTATTTATACACTGCCAGCCCTTTTCGAATTCCAGCCAGTTACCTTTTGCAATAGCAAAACTCAAACAAGATCATGCATCATGCGCTCAATTTCGAATTACTCACCTACAGAAATCTCTCGTTAATCTCTCTTACTGTTTAGCATAAATGCTTTTTTGGGGGGCACAGAAAGAAGCAAAAAGAAGCACAGGCGAATGTATTTGTTTTGACTGAGGCTGGAACGTTTTCAACCGGATTGTAGCTGTGCCAAAGTAAACAGTATTTTGCTTGGACAATGATATATTTCAACCAATGTTATCATTATTATCGGCTAAAATTATACAAATTGGCTCTACTCGCGTGTATTACGAAAACAAAAACATATTACCAAGTAAATCCTTTGGATCCGAAGATAAAAGCTACTTTAAATTCAACATCAATATTTATCTGTTTTCCCATAGAATGCATAAGTACTAGTACAGGTACTCATGGCGAGATGAGTTCTTTATAAATTTAACATTAAAAATATTTTAAAGAAGCAGTTTTACTATAATACTACTATTGCAATAAAATTGGTCTACACCTTAACGTAGAGGGGAATCGAGAAAAAAATCAACAGTGAGAAACACATCTTTTTCTTTGTTATCTTCCATTTGAACTGACATTATTAAATTGTAAGCCGGTAGAATCAATTGCACTACATATACCTGGAAGTACGTTTCTGAACGACAAGTTCGTGATAGCTGAACGACCAATCAAACTGTGGAAATACGAATCAATTAATCTGCAACGAGTGTCTCTTGGCTTCTATTCGTATTATCGAGCGCGCGCATCTATAATATATGCATAAAATGTTAGCATGAGGTAGTAAGAATCATAGATCCATCAGATGAAACAAGCCAATGACGTATACCATGTACATACTCTTTCAATATTCTTTATGTGTTACTCAACTTACCTCCAAAACAGAGCTGATCATAAGAATAAATTATGATAACAAAACCTAAAACATTCGTTTCAGGGAGTTGTGTGAAACTGTTTCTTCAGGGCACTTTTTAATAACGATATCTTTCCTTCTGAGAAAACTGATCCGAATTACTTGATAAATCATTAATTGAAACAACTAAATGTTTACTTATATGTCTAATTTTGGAGGATGCACTTCTAAAATGTTTACTTTGATCTTAAAATTAATTTTGATGTCAGAAATTTATCGAGGACCTAACTTGACAGATCCTCTGAGCATCGCTTGAAAATGCATTTATTTTATCATTCGTTCAACCACTTTCATGCATTAATTAATTAATTTTTTTAATTATCCTCACTTGTGTTTACTCATTTTGTCATTATTTCAGTAGGTTATTGTTTGTTTAAAGATAGAGTAGTTTCCCAGAGTATTTTAAGAGACGTAAGGATAAGAGCAATATATTTGCAAATTTTGGAGAATTCAAACTAGGGATTCTCAAAAGTCTTATTTCTGGAGTTCTTTAATACATCTTATCCATGCTAATCAAATTTTGGTGCAACGTTGATCATTAAATATTTACAAGCTGTCAACTTCTAAAATTAACATCTTTTAGATTAAAAGAAGCTTGAGTCGTCAAAAATAAAGTTGTATTTTAAGTACCTCACCCTTGGCAAAATTTTCTAATGGCAAAATGGTGGGCATAGTAACTAGAACACCCACAGTTACATTAATAAAATACTGAATAATGTTCGAGGTTCCTAGATGGTGTCAATATGCCACGAAAGGTGAAATGTCCTTATAAGCAATAATTCTGCATTCAAAAAGACCATAACTTGATCTTGGCTTATAGAGTATCGATCCACGATTGCGAAATACCTCGCGAATTTTTCCAACACTTACAGAAAATGAGGTCACCCCGTCTAAAAACAACAACACACATTCACTTATACAAAAGGAAAAGCGCCTTGTCCTATCAAGTCGCAATTCTGTAACACATTTTCGCCTGCAGCCCGTGATACGATATGAGAATAATATTTTCACCTTTGGTTCCATCACAAAATTACTGTGGACCTTCAAATAAAGTTCGTAGCTGTAATTTCCTGTAGCCTACATTTCATAAGGTTAAATGAAAGAAAAGAAGCATTTGATGGCATAAATTTGATCTGCTACAGACCCTTTTATGTTCTGATTTCGGAGA